GCTCAGAGTCCGGTCGCGTATGTTTTCTCGTTGGCGCATTCTCGACGGAGGAAGGAAGACTGTTAATAAATAAGATCTCTCGTCCATGATCGCGACGATCGATAAGTCGGCAGTGCACAGCAATTGTATTTATCTGCATTCGTCACTCCATCCTGAAACAAACGTGTGCGCATGCTGCCCGGACATGGACTCTTGAGTAACGATAAATCAGAGTGTCTCCTTCCAACGCAATATTCTTCTCTACTCGCGCAAATGAAGTGCAATTATGAGCTGCCGTAGTACGCGCGCAATCGGCAAACATACTTATTTGCTCTTGCGGAGGACATGCGCTGTTACAGTTTGTGCAACGCCTCGGGCGTTATTATTATAATGCACATCGTATCGCGGTGTGTAATCGTTTCCTCGTGTCGCAATGACGTTTCGCCGGCGACAGTGAACGCAATTGCAATTCGCCGAGATGCACACATTCCTGTAATTATAGAGTAATGTTCGAGTCGAGATGGCTCGTCAGTCTATCAGATAGCGCTTGTCGCTCGTAGATAAACAGTAGCTTCATGACTCGTGTTTTTCATACTTGCATAATTCATAATGAGCATAATTTTACCGCTCGTATTCCTGCATGTTCTAGTTTCGTCCGATTACGAAGGTGAGGTTATCTTTCTTTACGTGTAGCATAAATTGAGCGATCGTCCTGATTGACGCACCGTAGGAGGTTTCTCGAGCTTTCGTCTCCGTGGTGCGAACGTGTAGCTTTCCTCGATGTGCAAAATGACCTCTGATTTTACGCACGAAATCGCACGAAGGTGCAATAATTGAGTAGCTTCCTTCCTAAGTCCGATTTCCGCGAACAGAACATATTATCCCATTTTAGCGAGTACAGTCTGAACGAGAGAAACGGCAAATCGCGATGCGATCGTGACGAGATCTCACTGCGAGTAGTTGAGAACTAATCGCGACTTTCTTTCGAAAATATTCATGACACGAAGTGGTATTGGAGTAAATACTTTGCACGCTGACCGCTGATTTTACGAAATATGCTGTGGTTTACGTCGAGCTCGATCAGCGCTCGATGAGCGAAAAACGCGACGCATCGAGGCGCGATTACTCTTGCAACCTCTCCAACGACATTATCGAAAGGTCAACATGTAACTTGTTGCATTACCCAGGGATATATTCACCTTCACACTTAAAAGTCGTACATTATGGCCACCTCACGCAACCGTGTTTAGTTATGTAATTGTACATTGTACAATACACAGCGACAATGTAATAGGACCTTAATAACGCGCATAATTGTAGATGATTATTTTACCATATTTCGCCGTTATTACTATCGTTCATCACGTTTCAGGTATGATCTTTTATAACTCGGAATAAATTTTAAATCAATGTTACATCTCGAATTTTAACAACCGTTGCGTTTCACGGTTGGAAAAGTCGTAGTCGAAAGCGACTGACCTCATGAGATTTTTATGAAGAAAGAGTGACCTTAAAATTCGCCGGAGAACTCGCAGGCAAAGGGAATCTGCGCTACATCAGGAGAAAAGAACGCGTAAATTGCTGGAAGAAATCATGTTTAACCTTTGCCATAATAGCGGCGATAATAAGTCTGGTGCTGGTGAACAATTCAGTGCTCGCGTGCATGCAACCTGAGAAATCACAAGGCGAACGTCAAAATTTCTCTCCTTTCACTGTCCGTTATTTGTTTTTCTGCGTTGTGCGTTTCATAGATGCGAATAGGGCGTTTGTTACTTTCCTCCCATCGAACCAGCTAGCGATAACGATTTCGCAGCGACTAGGGGTGGCGGTTGACACTGTCAACGGTTTGCACTAACCGGTCGGAGGTCGAGAGAAACGGGAAATTCCCGATGGAATGCCGCCGCGATCAAGGATGACTGCTGAACGGGACGAGATCAGTTCTGACTCGCGATTAGAATCTCGCGTAGGAGTTCTCGCGCACACACACACACACACACACACACACACACACACACGGAAAATTGTTGCGCGCGCGAACGCCATCGCGGATGTGCTCATGACCGCCGAGTTGTCCTCGTCGAAAGTATTCCCCCGCGACTTTTCCGTGTAAAAAATGCTAATACGATATCTCTATGAGATTCTCTATTGAGAAATCGGACAAAATTCTGCTGGGAGCTGCAAAACTCGTTCTCGTTGAAGTGCGAACCGATGTCGGTAACTTTAAATTTGGAACACAGCTAATTTTCGGTCACGGTTCATTATAATATAGATGTTTCCACGATTTAACGGCGTGACGCGTCTCACAGCTAAACGTGTAACATTTCTTCTGCCGGACTTTCAAAAAATTCGACGTCGCATCGAGTGTCGAATTATGTCGATGTGTGTGTGTGTGCGTGCGCGTTCGCGCGCGTCTTCTTCGTTTCTTTTTTGCTTCTTCTCGTCACCTTCCCTTTCGTCGTTCGTCGCCAAAACGCGACGTCCCGATGTCATGACGCGGCTTGGATATTCTTTGTGAGTGAAATGTTCCTTGTAAAGGCCTCAAGGCCGACCAGGTGCCACCTCCTCTCACTTTCCTGCCTATCGCACACCTCTGCTCTTACGGGCCCGGTCGCCCGACCACCTTTCTCTCTCTCCCTCGTTTCTTCTTGTTTTCTAGCATTCTATCCGTACTCTCCTCGGCGGATTCTTCGGCGGTTCTTCGTAGTCCTCCGATCTCGCAGCTGCAATCGACCCAAGGTTGCAAGCCGCGGGACGACAGCCGAAACTGCGAGTCCTCTCTATAAACACCTCGCCCGGTAAAATCCAGTCGGTGATGAACTTTAAAGTTCAGCGCTCTCGCGCTCGCGGACGAATTACGCTCGTACATAGGTCGCGCCTTCTAAACGCTGACGAGTCGATTAAGTTTTGACGAGTCAGCGATCCGTATCGCAATTACCCGTCAGACCGTAATTTCCTGCTTTCGAATGATTCCTGTCCGAAACTCTCGTTATGCTAATGCGCGCCGCGTCTCGAGTCTCTCGGAAAGTGTAATAAATTGAGATTCGCAACATCGAACAATATCGATTGTTCTGTGCTTTCTTTGCTACAGATTTCTAAAGTATCAACGATGCGTGGGACGAGAACAGAAGAGACACGGAGAGAATATTTTAATATTTTAATACAGAATACAGTCTTTGATATTATTCTTTGCAAATTCCCTTTAAATTTCCCATTTGTTTTCGATCGAACTCATCTAAGCAAATATTCGAAGCGTGAGCGCGTTTCTCTTGCTCGGCTTCACTGTTCACTGCCGGACTTTTTCGCACGCCGCAATTTCGGAAGCGCAGCGGACATTCCGACGGGGGTGAAAGGAATTAAATGCTCGCTGAGAGGTCGTGATTGAATTATTTATCGGCGATAAAGTGGGCCGCGAAGTCGGTCGCGCCAAACTTTCGGAGTTTCGGGAGTGGTAGGTAACATACGCGACTCCTCGTGCCGCAATCGCATAATGCGAGACGTAAGAATGCGGGAGTGCACGCGCCGAACGCCTCCGACATTCCGAGCTTCGGGAGTTTCTCCCGCGTGCACATTCCGCGAGGTGTGCATCATTATTTTTTCACAGCTCGAGTACCCGCGAGGTATGACGAGGCGATAACGGGGAATGTTACGGCGCGATCAACGGCGCCGATAGGGTAAATTAGAAATTGAATATGCTCGTCGAGGATGCTTTTGAAAATTTAAAGCGGACAATACCCGCGTTTCTACTTTCCGAGGCTCGAAGGAATAGAGTAGCAGAATGATCGCACATATACACGCACAGAAGCGAAGAAAATAATAAGTTTGTACAGTTTTCAGAGATTACACGTGGATATTATTTTCTTTCGTCGTAAATTGAAAGCGTCCGTTTGTATAAACAGTGTGTTGTTGTGTCGCATTTTTTAATAATTTTGAATCTTGGATTTTGCATTTGTCTCTATCATTTTCTACCTTTGGACTTCGGACTTTGTATTGTTTTTCATGTAGCAATGCTGAGCAATTTGTGACTTGGAAAATCCGCTTTTGAAGAACGAGCCAGGCGAAATTGATATTCATTCTCTGCTGCACGCGCATGTGTTTTTGTATTTTATGCAAAAAACACGAAGAATCGTTTTGTAACTTTTGTCACGTAGATGCAAGATGTTATGGTTGACTGGCAACGTAGCTCGCGGCAGAGTTCATTCGCCTTTGATTCGTCTGGTCTTTTGTTCTGGCGAACAATGGGACATCGTGTTTTTTCTATATTGTAAAATCGCATTGAAACATACCTCGGAATGAATCATGTGTGATGATATTCTATCTATATTAATTGATGAAGCTCAGTGGACGTAGTTGACTGATAATTAATTCGTCTTTTTTCAGCATTGCTTGTCATAGCTAAAAATAGTGGCTTCGCGTTTCTATTATATTGGCATATACACAATGTTCAATCGATTCTATTGTAGAGTGATAAAAATTCTATCTAGGGGAACAAATAACAATTAACAGACACGTATTTTATCAAGGTGAAGAAGCGAATAGGAATAGGAATATTTTGTGAAAAAAGATTACACATGTACACGCGCGTACAAGTGCGTTCGAGTCTTACAAACTCGCATTTCTAATGAAACTTTTGCTCCGGTTTTTTCTCATTCGAATAAGTTGTTTCATTGAGTAACGAGATGTCATTTTAATCAATCAATGACAATGTTTCATATCGCGAAAACGATCGAAAGATCAGCATAGAGTACGTACGCCGGAACAGAGTCGCTTTCCAGAAAAAAACTTTATTGTTCACATTAATTAATTGTCACATTAATTTACATTTATACATTAAGTGATTTAGGTATTTGACGGGCGGCAGTACTTTGCTATGTACACATCACTTTTTTATCGATCTCTTCGATCGGCGCGCGCGTCTGACGAAGACTCGGCAACGAAGGGAAAAACGACACGACTATTTCGTTCCTTCTGATTAACACCTCTTATGACAATCGTTACAATCACTTGGTTACAATTACCTCTTGATATATATTTTTATAACACGCGAACGAAGCTGCCGTTCTTCGAGGAAAGACGAGATGCCTCGGTATGACTCGTGCCAGAGGTACATCACGATCCTTTGTTTAACGTTAATTGTGTATTATCGGAAGTCTCGATACGCGCGGAAATTGAGACTTTGATCCGCGCCGAGAACTCGACGATGTCGTTTGAAGAAGACTTTTGATGCTTTACAGTGAGAAAGAAAAAGAGAAGAAAGAGACGACGGTTTCTGGCCGCAGGTAAAGTGTCGTGCATTCCAACAATTTGTGTTTCTAAGAAGTCAACGAGAGTTTGGGCAAATCTCATTACGGCTTAGTGATCAACTTATGATCGACCACCTCTGCGGTAAGAGTTGCTTTTGGGTTTCACTTGAATTTCCTCCCGTTGGGTCTCTTCGACCTCCTCCTGAACAGTCTTACTTCCTCTTCCTCCGAACCTGCCCCGTCCTGACGATCTAGCCTCGCCACCTGTGCTGGCCTTGGCACGGTTGTTTGTGGTAGCTCTGAAACGCAATTATTGCTAGTCAGCAGCGGTTTACCGAGAGAACTCGAGTATAAAAAAGTAATCGACCTTTACTGTTAGAGCAAACATGCGTTACAGTGTCTCGAGTGGTTTATAAAATTCAACAGGAATATGAATATTGCATTACTTTGACTTAGCTGTGGTGTATTCTACTGCGGAATGCGTAGCGGCGGTTTCTCGTGGATGACTACTGGGTCCGGTCTGGGCTCTTCTCCTCTTCAAGGCAGCCAGAAGATCCTCGTTTGATCTAAATTATATTGCAATCGCGCACTTTTTGTCATTTCTTCTAAAAAATACTCGATGTAAAGCGGCAATTTTATGAATTCTATGGATACCTGAAGGGCCGGACGCCACCGTTCCGAAGTTTCTTCGCAGCTTCGGTCGTAGTCGTAGGAGCTTCGTGTTCTTCGCTCTCTTCAAGCACGTCTTCGTCTTCGACTATGTCTTCTTCGGCCGCTTGTTCCGGCACCGGCTTCGACGTCGTCGACTGAGCCTACGGAAATTGTTTCATAAATTTTGTTCTCCAGATACATAAGAGAAAAAGAGTCGGATTTTCAACAACGATAAAATCTTTTACGAGCGCGTCACGTGAAGAATTAGCGCGAAAAAGAAAGTTCAACTCACCGCTGGCGCTCTTTTCTTTCCTACATTTGCTACATTGACACGTCCTCTCGAGGAAAGAAGGCCTCCCAGCCGACCACCTGCTGGCTTCGTTGGCGCCGGCGTCACCGGCGCTGCTGCCGCCTCTTCCTCGTAATCATATTCTTCTTCGGCTGATCTGCTGACGGCTATTATACAGAGGGCTAATATTCTGCAAACAACACGTTACGCACATTGCAATCTTCATGTATTATGTTCTTGCGACTCGCTTCACCATTCGCAGAATATAATAATTATTTTACGATCGCTATGTGCGAACCTGTTTCCACAGAATCATCTTCAAGTGACAGCTCTAAAGGATAATACGCGGCGAAAATAACATTTTCTCAAGGAATTTGCGAAATAACATTATCGTCAGAGAAAAATATGCAATTTGCGAATTTTGTTGTGCACGAAATTCCAAAATAGCGCGGGCAACGAAATAACTTAACGGTGTTTATATAATGTGACGTAACGGTTACAGTAAATTGCTGTTTTCGTTTACATTTTGCATTGCTTACGGACTACGGCATTGCAGGGATTACGGAAGAACCGTGCGGTTTGACCAGACGAGCGACAGCTGCGGGTTACAGCACACGTATGCAGAGCACGTACTGAGAGATTAGAAAATGATTTTCCTGGCCGAGAAAGAGGAAGGCGACAAGCTGAAGGATCGCATGGAAACCACCGAGAATCTGTGCCTTCGCTCACGGGCGTACTCACGCTCGAAAAAAAAAAGAACGTAATTTAAGTTACGGCGTAACGCCGTCGCGAAACAAGTTTACGGCGGCTAAATTGACAGGTTGCACTTAGGAAACAGCGGAATACGCAAGTCAGACTATTTGAAAACTTGGAAGCTGACTACATGAATACATGATTGTGTCGCTTGAGAAATTTAAGAGCAACAGACATTTCTCTTGTAAATTATGTGCTTCTAACGTCACGTCCTGCATAAATCACCTGTTTGCGTTCTATTGTCATTGAAAAACTCTTCTCTTGTTAGCACAGCACAAATAACATAGTGAAGATAGATCTAGATATGAATGTAAGGAGACACAGAGTATGTTGTTATAATGTAAAGTATGATTGAAATATAATACAACTGATGGTTTGCGGACTAATTTGATTTACCCCACATCGAGCCACGGCGCCAATTTAAGCCCGAAAAGAAATTCTTTTCGTTTCAATTCGTATCGAAAGTAAAATTTATATCAATGGTCTCTCTGATCCTCTCTCTCTCTCTCTCTGTAGCTTCGTAGCTTTGCTTCCCCTTAAAGAGGATTATTTATCTCTGTTTGGATTCGCGTCCTTGCGTTTCTCGCGGGGGAGTGGAGGAGTCGGGCCGAAAGTTTCTTTTCCGTGGCGGTGGCTCGCGGATCTCGCGCAGGACGCGCGCAGGACGGTGCCCGGTGCCGCAACTTTCGCCAGGATCGAAAAAGGAATCCGAGGACGAGAGATCCTACTCGTGACGTGCGCTGCAGCGATTATTGCGCACGCTCGACTCGGCTCGGCTCGGCGTGCTCGCTCGTTGCCGCTCGCGCGCTCGTTCGCGTTCGCGTTCGCGTTCGCGTTCGCTCGTGGTAGATCCGCGTACACCAGGTGGATTTTGACCTGTGACATTCACGTACACGGGACTCACTTTCTCTGCTCGGCTCTCGTGCAACTCGCGCGCCGCGACGCTCGGGATTGGCTGCGCCGTTACGACGGGACATTCATACGTGAGGCGGCTCACAAATGTCAAGAAAACCAGCCGAACTCGGGGCCCCGGGTGTGCCGAGGGAAAGAAAGGGGGAGAAATTTCGAGGGATCCGCAGGGGACGCCGGGTCGGTCGGGCGATCTCGATCGATAGATCGCCGCGGGAATACCCGGCGCCGGGCGATTACGAAAAGAATCGCGAATTCGGTGCCTCTCTCGCGAAACGAGAACGACCATGACGTTCCGTCATACTTGGAACTTGTCGAATGACATTGATTATTTTTGTGTTACTGAACACTTCGTTGCTGTGTGTTTTATGTCGGTGGATTTAAATATATACAAATAACGACAAACCGGCTTCTAAATAAATAAATAAATAAATAAATATATATATATATATGCTCCGAAATACCTAAATGTAATTATTCCAACATTCTACATAAATAAGAACGAGACAGAAGCAGCGCGAATCAAATTTTTTTTTTTAGAAATTTACTTGCGGTTAGAGTTTCATGAAGTTTTTTGCGACTTTTACATACGGCGCCGGAAGCTTATGCTTGAGCAGCAAGGTCGATTCGCACTCGAGATTAATTCACTCCTTTTACCTGCGCTTTCATTAACGCATCGTCGGTGCGCGCTATTAGATCGCTATTAGCGCACGTGGCATGCGCGTAATGGCCCGTTCCGCTGTTGAGAAAAATGTACACGCAAGTTGTACGCGAAGAGACTTCGAATTTGTAATTTTTTCTTTCGCAAGATGTTTACACGTTGCTCGTATTCCGTAGCCATGCATTGATACGAAATAATTAGATGGCTTGAGGACGGGGATCGTCGGCGTCGTTATCGTTATCCACAATTTTCAATAGATTCAATGTTACTTCGAAATATATTACACAGCAGGTGTCTGAATTTGCTCCGCGAGAATTCGTGAAAAGATGCTCCGATGCATCTCTCTTTTGGGCTGTGTACGTGTGTGCGGACGCGCGTGTATTCCCAAGTCACCGTAATTAATTTAGAAATCCTAGTGGAAAGTTAAAATGAAACGCGAAGGAAGCGGCGTACGCGCGATTGATTTGCTCATTTGTGGAATTCGCGACGTACCTCTTCTTTCATCGGCGAACCGGTTCACCGGTAAATGAGAATAGTCACCAAACTTAATCAATAAGCGTAATCCTGGCCGGCCGCCGGGCTACGAGACGGCCCGATTGAGGACTACAGTTTCGCGTTAGCATTCATTCGCAATAATTTTGATCCACTATTCGCCAACGAGGTAATTCATCGTCCGCTCTCGACTACGTCGTGACGCGAGATCATTGAACTTGCTGGATCTTCGCCTTGGAAGGAAACGATTACGTTCACATTAATCTGCCCGCAGGATGTTATTAGCTACCTGCGCAGGTTCATTAGAAATCTTTTTCCTCGTCTTTGTGCCTTTCATCTCTTTTCTTTTTCTCCCATTCTTTTTATTTTTTTGCTTCTTTATACAAGGACATATTCCTTAGACGTAGATCTTCCTCCCCTTCCGAGTTCTACTTGCGTCTAATTTCCTCCCTTTTCTCTATCCTTCTCTTCTTCCTCCAACAAAATTTCATTATTTTTTCTTTCTCCTTTCCTCTGAATTTTTTTCTACTATTTTTATTCCTCCCTCGATCGTTTTCTCTTTATTCCTTTCCACCTTCTCGCTTATTTAATTATAATTCTGCATGATAAATTTGATGTAATTTTATTGCGCGCTTAAGGAGGCTCGCCTCGACACGAATAAATGCCTCTTCTTTTTCATTCTCTGCCGGTTTACGATAGGAGGTTTACGAAGACACTTCATAACGCACATCTCGTTAGAATAATGTCAAGGAGAAGCAACGGCAATGCCCGCGCTGTTTATACGAATTTCTCGTTTGTCAAGAAAAAGCGTGCTAATCGATTTCAATAATAATCGCCGTTATGCGCTCTCGCTCTCTCGCCGCGACTTTTCTAATCGATTTCCTGGTCAGGACCAGGAAAGGATAGCTCGAGCAGTCACTGCGGCCGTTTGCATAACGCGCCTCTCTGCATTCCGTGATTGATAAATACTTTGCTCATAACTGCGTTCGCGAATCGAATATGACCGAATCTGATCGAAATTACCGTAGAACGCGGGCGTAACGTGAAGTAATCAATGGGCGACGCTTTAATAAAACGCGACGATTGAATAACCTGTTGAAAAGTCGGTGCACGTGTTTGACGACTTGCTACGTGCATACATTATCTTCTATGTGCTCAGGAACATTATCTTAAACAATTCGGCGCATATATATTGGTCATTAGCCACCGGCTAAATCGATCGGCGTTGTCGCGATCGAAAGTTATCGGCGGCGGCGGCGGCGATTTCCGCAGGTGTTGGGTGATTTTGATTGCAGGCAACGAATGACAGATACCGAAGCCTGAAAACGACGCATAGGCAGAGTAGATACACCTTTCGATCGCGAATGTACTATCGGCCTTGGAGTAACTCCGACTTAGCCAGCAAAGGCGATCTGTGGATAATCTGCGCGATCGCAATTGACCGGAGTAACAATGCACGCGAGTAAACGATCGTACCGTTAAGCGCCGTACCGTTAAACGTCACTAATTTTTTTTTCTTCTGCGGTTGTTTCTTGTTAACATCGTGCTCTTTCGATATTCTTAACCATTGGAGAGCGCGTAATGAACAGCTGAACAATATGTTACGTTCAAATGTACCGTTTCATGCGACGGCTGCGATGAAAGCATTTATATAAGTAGATTTTCCATTCTTCCCAGGTATAATCGCCTGATAATTATAATAATAAAAAATTAGACAAGAGCTCGCCAGACGTCTTTTGTATCTCTCTAAACATCCGAACAGATCGCTCTCTCCCGAGTGCTTTCCCATATAACATTACCCTGTATTTACGACGAAGCTCGCGTGGAAATGAATGAAGCGGTAAGACAGCCTCCTCGGTATTTATGGAAAAAGGAACGAGAAGCGACAATTCGAGCGTATCAGTAGAGCGAGTCATGTACAGGATACGATAATCACCCGGGGATCACTGTCAAGAAGTCCGCTGAATTCTAGAGGAAGAAGTCACTCGCTGAATTCTAATTCTACCCACGCGGCTCATGAAGAGCTGATCTCAAAGGGGAGAAACGTCGCCAGAAAAGAGGGAAAGAGATCGAGGAGAGCTCAACGCGTGAGCGAGACGAGTTCGGAGGTTTATAAGGACCGCTTTGGCAGCGCCGTGGTCTAAAAGTGGACCTTGCGGATCACAGACTGCCGCGACTCGTGCGGTTACTCACGTGAACAACGTAAGTTTCATGATGCCGACGGCCCGTGGATTCTGGCTGGCCCTGCGGATGTCGTGCCCTTCTGCGGCTGCGACGTGTGGAAAGCACCGATCTGTGGCCGACTGTTAACCACTGGGCGCGAGGCCGCGGCGAGGAATGGATATCAGGCGGCGACGGTGGCAGGAACCGTAAGAAAGCACACCACTGCAATCGCGGAGGCTGTGTACTTTGGAGTGCCGAGTCGAGTTTCCCCTTCTCTCTATATATATGGCACTCTCACTCTACCAGCAACCACCTGTGCACGAGCCGTCGGCGATAGCGTACGTGTGACTCCGATATATCCTTAATGATACGCGCACACTCACCCTCCGCTCGCAATACTGTCGCGAATGCGCGGACTTACGCCCGGCTTACGCCAAGCCGGCGGGGAGGCGAATCAAGCTGCGAGTTACCTGCTTACGCGTTTTTTCCGCCGCCATAGGATCTATTAATAGTAATTAAGAGGAGTTTATGCATGTTTGTGACGGCTAACATCCGTTAGTCGGCGACAGTCAGAGAAGGAGAGACACGCGAATTCTTGTAATTTAGCGAATCGACGCGCTTGCTCGTCTGCGCTCCAGTCGTTTGTCTCTAGGAATAATAGGAGATGGAAGACGTGGACGAGGTAGAATGTAAATCGTGGAGCGAAACAAACTCCCCGTTCCCCGGGAGATTCATTTGCACACGTGAAGTATGTTTTTAGTTTAGTACGAATTTCTTACGAATTTCTCAAGATAATTTTGTCTTATATTTTTATCTACCTAGGATATCGTTAATTGGCAATTAACACGACAATGCGATCGTTCTACGGTGGTTAAAAGTCGAGCTGAAAAAATTGAGAAAGTGGACGCGGACAGTTTTGCGAAATCGGAATTTTAGGTTGGGATGCATCTGAAATTCGCGAACGGTGTTAAATGTCACGATTTGGAGAAGAGCCGACGGTGTTGGATAATTAGGCAGCTCTTTGCATCGATTACGAATATTTCCCATATATACGCCGACGACGGCGATACACATCGCCCGGTAAATAGACGCGACGATATTTTTGGACATAACACTTCGTTTCGCAAACACGCGCAACGTACAGCGTGGGCTACCGAATAAATATTTTGCAAGTGAATAACTAATGACAGTTTCTCTCGCTCTCAGGGGGAGGAATAACGTCACTCTTTCGAGCGCCCGTCGGCGGACGGGCGATTTCCTTTTTTATCTCGTCCGAAAAGAAAAGGAAGAAAACGCCATTCCGACGCGTCCGTTGTTTTAGCAATCTGTTCTCAGCGTCGGTGACGTTGAAAGTCCTCCGCTTGATTTTTCGAAGCGTTCTATCCGGAAACGTTATGCGGACTAATCGTTCTTTGCATAACACTGTTAAATAATTAAATAGTCACGTGATTCTCTAGGACCGGTATGTGTACCGCGCGAAATCCATCTGAGGAAACGAATCATCGGGTCTCTCAATCGCCGTTTCTTTCTTTCTCTTACCCTGCCTCTCCCTCCCACCTTCTCTCTCTCTCTCTCTCTCTCTCTCTCTCTCTCTCTCTCTCTCTCTGTCATCTTCGATCGAGTCGCGACGTGGACGGGGACAAACACAGCTCTCCTCTCGTGTAACTCTTCCTTTCCCTTTCGTTTGTAGTTTAGGAGACGATTGGCGCCGCGTATACCCCACCGTTTTCTCGAAGCCGCGGTCCCTCTCTTTCGTTCTCGCAGTCTCGACTGTCCGCGCCATACACACACGTTTCGTGAAATTTATGCCACGCTGGAATATCCGCGACTCGTCTTCGCCCAGCGCGATGTAAATTCAAATTCCAACGGTCTTGCCGAGGAGGGAACGGCAAAGGTATTGTCCTGACCGGTGGCAGGAGCAAATCGATCGGGATCGAGAGGGATGCGCGATCGCGGCCGCTCGCGCGACATTCGCGCACTGCTCGGTGTTGCTCTTCGTTTGCTCCGATTCGCGAGCACGTCGGATCGTAACGTTAATGTTTTTACGATGCTAGAAGATTACGACGGGGGACAACGCGTCTGAGATCAGACCACGAGCAGTGAAAGTAAAGACACGGACTCCTACAGCATTCTGTGCTGTGGGTAAGAATGTCGCGGCACCCTGCTGCTGGCCCTCTATTCTGCACGACCGTGCCCTATCGCGTTCGCGCGCTTCGTTTTGCCACCGTGTTTTGCCACGAGGAAAGTCGGCTCCCGTGCCTCGGCGGCCGTGAAAATCCCGAAACGATCCCGGTCTCCCTTCATTTTGCTCGTACACGACTGGTGCTCATCGCGCGGCTGAGGACCGCGCCGGGATTTCACGCACCTCCTCAGTCCCGAAAAATCGACGCACAAGGACACAATCGTATATTTATTTCCTTATGAGGATTCTTTCGGGTGGAGTATGAAAAGGACAAACACGAAGAAACAAGCTCCGAGATAATCTGCATCCTTCGTGTGTGTCCGTGTGTGTTCCTTTAATGCTGCAAGAGATCGTGTCTCGTGACTGTCGCCGCAAAGGCCATAAATTGCAACGATCTACGGGAAGCTTTCTCGATCCCGCTGCAGCGAACAGAGAGCTCATTCTTTCGGGATTGAAATTATTATCCTTGAAATTCCACACTAATGTGTGTGCGAGCCAACAAGAAAGGATGAACAGGATTGCTGGAAGAACTTTTAAGAGTCGTCTTGAAGAGACATTTCCTCGTATTCATCTTAAATCTTTTTACTCGAGGGGTGGATACAGTTTGTACAAGTCAACAATAATCGTTTCCCTCGAGTCTTTTTAGAAAAAATTGTAGACGAGATGAGAAGAAGAGATTGCTATTGAAATTGTAGCATTTCCAAATGTTTCCCACAATGTTATTTCTAAACATTTCAGAAGAAACTGCTATTTTTAGCTGTATTTTCGAACTGTAAAGTATAAGTAAGTTTCTATTATTATGTGATGATTAGACGAAAATTTAGTTAAATAGGAACAGAAAGATTCCTGCGGGAGCTTTTTACTCAGTTACACGAAATGACACTTTTTTGTATCTTTTTTCCTAATTTCTGATTCTCGTTGGACTATTTCCTCTCAGAAATATTAATCCTCTAGTAGAAATTAAGTCCGCTGGAAAAAAGTAATTTCTTTCCGATTAGGGTAAGCTCAGCTAAAATTTTAATATATATTACTCCTGAAAATGACACGAGTAAAATGACAGTTACTGACAGCGTCCCGCCTTCATAAAATTACAAATACACTTGTAATTGATGTTCAATCAAATTAACAGCCCGTTCGAACGGAACTCAAGTGGATTTCGCGCCTCGGTTTGTAACGTGCCGCAATTGGTTTGCGCGCAACAGAGTAAATAAATATTCGGCTAGGCGCCACATCGAGATCGTACTTGTGGCACGAAAAGAAAGTTTCTGGCATTTGTTGACGCGTCCGAGTGACAGATACATCGATCGCCCGCGGCTAAACCAAAGGAGTGGCTGACTCGGCTTGTTCGTCTTGATTCGATCTATTCATTCGATCGAATCGGCCGTACGTCGACACTTTGCTTCCATAATAAGGTCAGGTTCAATTTCTTCGACGAACGTGCCAGATCGATGCCAACTTAATGCCAACTAACTCTAGCTTGCGGACTTTGCGGCAATCGATGCCCGAAAAGCTCCTGTCGACCCATCATTCGTCTCGTCGCAATTTCTCTCGCGATTTGAAAGTGTTCGAATAATAACTTTACATACTTGCCAAAAATTTCATGTGTATAAAGAGTGTTTCTATCTGATGATTTGTTTATTAGATTAGATGGAGATAGAATGTAAAGATTATTTGTGAATTTCATTTAATGTATTCCAATGTAATGTAATTTTAATGTTATTTATAACGTGAAACTTAATGTAAAACGACGACTTGCTTATATCATCAATAATATAATTTATAATTATTATTATTATTAAGAGTGCTTCTCGTGTCCCGCTCGGACAATTTCGGACGACATAAAAAAAATATTGCAATCGATGGTGAATGCGAATTTACATAGCCGCGTCATTTCTAAAACTATAAATTTATGGCGCACCACGTCGCAACTGGTAAATATATTCAAATAAAATTACTGTGCTCAGTAAGGATAATTTCGCTCCGTGCTGAATATGATTAAAGAAATAGATTAAACATGTATATCGTGATACTGATGGGCAATATCTAACAATTAAATAGCCCGATAAATCATCCGACAAGTATGTTTATTTGCACACCATAATTATGTGTGGAAATTACAGGTTACAGCAATGCAACCTTTATAAAACGGTACGTTTATATCATCCAGCAATAAATCTGTTCCTTGTCGGAACAGCTTGTGGTATTTATTACCATTTTTCCGCATGCTTATAACTAACTACTACAAATAAACAATGAAGAAGATCCAATGTTTGATGTAATGGCAAAACATTGGAGAAAATAAATTTTATGTTAATCACGAGAATAAAAGTAATTTTGTACATAATATTAAAAATTTAAAACAATAGACGTTATATCTCATAAACATTCATAACACATAAATATAATATCTAATGATTATGAATTTTAATATTGCATATAAATTATCTTGCATGATATGCTACAAATATGGTTGTAAGTAAATCCTGTGTTGATATACTTGAGGAAATTTAATTATTAGAGCTTTTGTTATCTTTTTAATGAGATGAAACATAGAACTCTTCTCTCGAAAATCATAGTAAATATATGTTAATATATTCAATGCATATATGTATGAATTTAAACAATAATTATGAATTAATTAAATTCAAAAGGATATATAGAAGCGACGGCTTATTTGCGAAAGCAATAAATATATAATAAAAATCAAGAGTTCAATTTTAGTTATTTGCAATAAAGCAGGATTTAAATTAAATAATATGCAAAAAATGTTTAAATCGAAGGAAATTAAAAGCTAAGAGTATCCAAAATATGTGATACTATATGATTAGAATTATAATCGTGTTTATCTTTATAATAAAGAAAACACTTGCGCGCTGAAATATATTGTTACAAAATATAAATGGACCTGGCAAAGATTGTGCAGGCGGAGCTATGTGATATTTACACGATTTGTGCTGCCATCTAGGGCGAATGACTTCAACTAGAAGCGCCTCAAGAAATTTTTTAATATATCGTGTATTTATATTATTGACCTATTATAGAAATATAAATAAGACTACCACGTTTCCAACATTAAGATTACCTACAATTCTCCAATTTTCCACACAAATGATGAGAATAAGTTTTATGAGAAACAATATTACAAATGCAAGTGTCGATAAGTAGGTACTTTAACGTTACCGACATCATGTTCCTAGCAGAGAGAAGGAGAGAGGTGGCTAAAAGTGACCCGTGACCTCTCTCCTTCTTCTCTCTGTTCCTAGTTTTGCAAGCAAGGAGAGGAAATGATAAATTGCAAACTGAGTTGTATTGTATAAACTAACTGTCCAGAAGCTCACATCAGATAATTGAAATAGATTAATGTCAATGCTGTTTGTCACTTGCGAATCACCAAACTATTTAAGCTATATCAATCAAGTCACATAGGTAAGCACGCACCAGGTACAATCAAACAACATAAACTCACTGAAAGATGATCGATGACAAGTCTTGAAGCGTCTGTTTGGTCCAACAAAAGCGAACGTTCATCGTCAGCTTTATTTCATCACTCACACATCTACGTTTCATCATTTTCGACGCGACGCGATATGTAGTACGAAAGTTACGAGTTACAAATGACATCGCGTTTAAACACACTCGCGCACACCGCGATTGTTAAAATGATTGCCTGTTGCGTGACTTCATTCTTTCGATGTTAGGCGCGAAACTCGCCTCCCAACGTGTGAAAATACATAACAAACACGAAAGGATCGCGATTCGAGTACGAAGCATCGCGGAACGTCGCGAAATTGCCGCGAGCCAAGATGGCCGCTTTAAATTGTATGAAGTATGCAACGTCAGGAGCGTCGAGCGTATCGATATTGTTCGATGTTATTAAAATTGATGGGACTAACTTCGTGGAACTGAAGCGTCGCCTCGTTCTTTTCCGAAAGGGATCGCGACATGGCGGGACGGGTCGAGAATTCTCTCCGTATTCTTCGAGATTTCAACACATTCGAGAGTGAGTTTCACGTTCATATAATCATCAAAGGTATCGAAAGTAAGTTTCGCGCGATTGTTGCGTCGAAATGCCACCGTTAAAGGTGAATATCTCGCGAAACAGATCATCGTCAGGTCGAGCAAAATCTCGCGCTAGTTCGAAACTCGAAGGAGAGTTCGCTGTGCGAATGATCGACGGTAGCAAGTTTCGTACATTTTACATTTGACGCAATGAAACAGGCGAGTATCTCTCCGTGAATCAAAGTTAAATCTTGCGAATTACTTCGGATTGCGCGGTCCTTGAAAACAGACATATCACCGGTAATGAAGGAACTCATTATTCCGGCATTCGTTACGTCGAGTCAATATAGCGTGCAGCATCGGTACTTCGAGAATCGCAACCGTCGCAATCATGTCTATGTTCAGTTCGAAAATGACTAACGGCACGAGATTCGTAAAGAAGTCGCTCCCTTATTTTTCGTGATTTCGTCGAACGTGGATCTCGCGCGCGCATCATCGTCGGGAGTGCCGAGAGCAAGTTCCGTGCGTGTGTCGTAGCAAAGTATCGCCTGATAAGTGCGTGTCTCACAGAACGAGACGTCGGCAGTGTCGACTGCAGTTTCGCGCGTTCGTGTTGTGGAGGTTAGGAGTTATCTCGCTGCAGTTTACGCCTTTCAAGCCAGCGAAAGGATTTCTGCTGAGGGTAAGTTCACATCACATCAGTGACAGATATTGTTTACTAATTTTCCATATTACAAATGTTCCTGATAAGAATACACAATGTTTTAATAACAATTAGAACTCGCACAGAAACGGCGGTATGGTCGTTTTCAAGTTTCCTTCTGGTTTTACGTTGCCGATTTGTCGAAGGAAGAGTCAGTATATACCGATAAAGCAGAAGTCGATGAAAATGCTGCAAGCAGCATTCAACTTGACTTACTTGCGATTATGTGTGTCATTGTCTTATTGAATAAATTAAATTTAATTAATTGAATTTAAATGAAATATAAAGTAGTCGAGTAATTAAATTTAATGACATTATTAAATAATTAATTAAATTTAAATCAAATCAAATACAAAATAATTGAATTGTCTATAATGTAGAAGAGATTGAGAAAAAGAATGTCACAAGTGCAAAATATAGGGAGCATTATTATATATTCTATACATATTCTCGAGAAGTAAAAATCTATTTATTTTTTTACAATTTACTTTCTTACAAAATATTGATTTAATTGCACTCTTTTTGGTGGCAGTGAAGGCATGAAGCCCTCTGCTGCAGCTCGTTTACAGTCAATGCCAGCATTGACTTAATCAAACATCACACATTGCCGATTAACAAATGATTTTAAGTAAGTCCTCCGTCGTCATTTCGTCGATTAGGCTTGAATATATTATTTAGAGTGGAGAGCTCTTGTTTTATCCAGATGATTCGATTAGTTTCCTCTGTCATGCTATTTGTCGATTGATGATTGCTTTCCTCGGCGTTGCTTGTCGTAGGCTAAAGTCGACAGGAATTCATATTTGTTTACTTTGAGTAGTAAAAAATATGTATATGACACATGTGCAGTGCCAATATTTACCTGTATACCGTCAGTGAGAGATAATCCACTCGACAGATTTGCGGATAATGATCCAAAGTCTGCGAAATCATTAGAATCCAGCGGATTCCAATCGAAATTCAGTTGTTGAGTGTCCATGTCCAACAGTCTAGTTACATCAGGAATTGTTGTAGTATCTGAAAGATTCACACGGTATTATAAGCAAGTATAAAAATAATCAACTAAAAAAACCTTTAAAACGCCATGAAGAGCTTCGGAATATTAAGGAATATTTACTGGGATTGTTCACTTCTATCGGCTGCAATCCCTGACTTTCTGTTGCTTGATTCATACCCTCCGGAGTCTTTTCCAACGCATATAAATTTGGTTCCGCTTGCTGCAATCGAGCTTGTTCCGGTGCGAACGAATATAGATTAGGATTTGTTGACGGTGATGGCATTTGCATCATGGGTGAAATATTTGGTTGATACTGCGGCGATTGCTGCTGCTGTTGCTGCACGATAGGAGGGCTATATGCGACATTGTATTCCATAGGGGACGGTGTTCGTCCTGGAGATACTTGAGTTCTGGAACGGTATAGATAAATGTAGATACTTACACGTGGGTCTTTTATATTTCACGAGTTCTTAATCCTATTCGGGTCGATTCTCTTCCTTGACTGAACGAACTGTCACTCTACCTCAGATTGCCCGGCATGATCTTCTGCTGGTGATTCATTACAGACAAGGGCAGAGTATAAAATCCTGCCGCAGCCGCGCCTCCGAATGGCGATAGACGGTCGGCTGGTTCATTTTGTACTGTCGGTTGTATATTTGGTTGATATTGCGGCGAATGCTGCGGCGGACTGTAAGGAGTATTGCTACACTCCATCGGCGACGGCGTTCGGCCTGGAGATACTTTGATCCTGAAACGAACGAGTATATTTCAGTATAAATCAGAAATCTCTTTGGCTCTCGTAAACCCTTTATTCTTATTCATACTGATTTCATCTCCATCGTGCCGTCGCACGTTACCTTGGATTCTGCAAGATGTTAGACTCCTTCTTCGTTACAGATTGCAGGGTGAAACCGCACGTTGCGCTTGTACTTGATGCTCCGAATTGCGACATTTGATCGGTTGGCTCGGCTTTGACGATATTGAAAGTAAAAGCCTGATTTCTAGCGCCTGGAACGTGATACAGTGACATGTATGCTACATACGTGTATGCACAATACATGTAACTAGCTTGTCTACGAAGGAATAAGGTTTCAATATCGACAATACCAAACTCATTATGTTACATGCTAGAGTTTATACCAGTACAGTAGGATAATATTGTATAGCGTACAGCATGCAAGCGTGCATCGCAATTAGTCAGTATTACAGCAAAAGAGAATTTGTTAATAGGAAATGAAATGTTGAAAAGCTCTTGGTGTCTCAATACCACTGGTAACGCTGGTGATACAAGCATCGGAATTCAGTTCTTAATGTATAATCAAGATTTCCTCATACGCACATCATGCATGCAAAATTTACATATTTTCACTACAAGTTTCGAAAGCTGAACTCTACACAAATGCTTCGTCATACATAATCTACACTCCATCACGAGTATGATATACATTGTTAACGAAATAATCTGCAAACTGCACTCCAACATGATCAACGTCGTACCTGATTCCGCTATCTGAAGTGAACATTTATCTGAAATTGATCGTATGCATGAAAGCAGAGAATAAACGGGCATCACTTCTTTTATACCGCCAAGTAACTATACACACGTAATATGTATATGTATATACAGATATATTATGTCGCATGTAATTCAATACAATAATATGTAAATATACATATATATCTGTCTCTGAAAGAAGCGGCTTATAAAAAGTATATTAGGATACAAATATTGCACATCGTTTGATTGTACTATATTACAATTGCTATATAATACGTGTATTTTGCGGTTTCTTCTTTTTTCAAGAGTATAATGTCATTGCGCGAGGAACAGCGTTTAATTGCGCGCAATTAAAAGTTTGAGCTACGAGAAAGACGTATGCTTAGAAGTATTTATTGTTACGAATAATGACCCTCGGGTTCACGCTGAAAGCGAGCCGCTGTTTTCTAAGAGCATAAAACACATCGTGTGCTTGTGCTCTTCGCTGTCATTATCGTGCATGTGTGTGTGTGTGTGTGTGTGTGTGTGTGTGTGTGTGTGTAGTTATGTGTGTACATTTGTAGAATAGAAAAATATTATCATATTTCAAAAAATTTACAAGCTCACACTGCTCCCTGAAATCTTTCAAATACAAACTCCACAAATCTCTATATAAAATACATCTTTAAAAAAGTACAAAACAAGATCCTTCGTGGACATGTGAAAATATGTGTAGCGTTCTTAAATGTAATGTTGAAGCTTTTTTATATTCAACGAGAGCGTATTCTCCCCGTCGCACTGTAAAAATAGCTCGTCAACAATTTTTACGAATCCGACTGAAAATGTCGGCCGAGCAAAGACACATGCTATACATATGTAAAACGCGTAAAATTTATATCATATTACAGAGCATATTTTCACAGTGTGGCAGAGGGGCAAGTCGGCATAATCGGGCGGTTAGTATCATGATGAGATTCGAGGATGATTAAACATCGACCTTTAAAAAAGAAAAAAAAAAAAACTGTACAGTCGTGTTCGCACAAGTACCGCAATTGTTTTTCAACTTTGTTATCCCAACGTGAAAAACATTCTCAACAAATTCGCCACATTCATCGTAACAATTAACAAGTGTACCAAATAGGCCGGTTAAAGTCGTACAAAATGTACAAAAAAGTCCGCCGAAAAACCACGGTAAAAGGCCTCTAGTTGCGCATATGCATATATAAAAGCGTACATAATTCCTCTCCGCGAGGAATACGCAAGGAGATACCAGTGGTAAAATCGATTATATATAGCATAGACAAAGGAGGAGTGTCGCGAAGGACTATGTATGTGTGTCAAAGTGGGAAATTAGCTTGGCACTCATTCCCTCAATGAGAAACGTGATGTAAATAGATAGACAGATGCTGAGAGATAGACAGCGTTCGTATAGACGGGCTTTTTTTACAAATTTGGACGCATCTCGCCATGACACAATGCAATGTGACATCAGCGATGTCGTCCGATACAATTCCGCCACCCAATCCCGGGAGAGGGATTGTAGGACTATAAAAAAAAGAACAATTTTGCAAATATGCATATATATACTCACGCTTCTCGGTTTCCGCTACATGCTTGAAAACTAGCGCGCTTGGGCTGTTACTAAATTTTTGTCTCTTTCGCCTTAACGAATCCATATCATCTATAAATGATTGTACATTAACAAGGGTTCACTGTGACTCGTATAACATTGAGTTTTAATCGTCCTAAATAGTAAAAGGCCTCGTATATTTGAACCTTACAGAGAGATCTCTCCTGAATGCACGTGTTACGGCCAAAATCCGAGATAGCAGGTAACCCGTGAAATATCCAAGATATTCAATTATTTGTTTAGCTGACCGAGTTGACCGATTATCCAACAAGTACAATGATCACGTAGCGTGCCGGGAAAGAAAAAATTGCCAAAATCGCCAAGAAACCGACTCGCGATATTTCGGACTTTGGCCGTGACGCATATAAAATTACGTTACAAAGAGATAATATTCATTCTGGACAATTTGAGCCTGCGTACAGTTAAGTATCGTTGAGAACGTGAGAAAGTCAGTAGTCCGTAACAAACGCGAGTGGAGCGAGACAATTGCGTAAAAACTCGTAAGTACCGTACAAAACTTAACAACATGATACAAGTAGTAAAGCAACGTATATCAAAAGTATACGAAAATGTAACAGCATTGGGCTCGACTAGAAAAGAGAAGAGAAGGTGAACAACTGATTGCTTGATAATAAATATACCTATATATAACGCGATCTCTCTTCGCGAATTAATATCTCACTTGTAAAAACCATAGAAAAAAAAAAAGAAAACATACTATAAGTGAAAGGTACTAATAAATCGACTAGATTAGGTTTCTGCACACTCAAGTAAATGCGTCGAAAGAAATAACCGTAACAAAAGAATTAATATATCAATATGAATTGAATATTCTAAATGGGGAAACGTGCTTCTCAAACACAGTACGCAGTTCTTGATTTTCGCTTCCCTTGGAGAAATCTTTGGTATATAGATGTATCGTTGAAACGTGAGTCGCGTCGAGAGCCATGGAGACTCGTTGCAACAACAAGAAGTGACAGTAATATCAATCAAGAGTTAACTGCAACACAACACAATACCTCTCACGGAGGTATTGTGAAGTCAGAATCGGAGAGAAAGCTCTCTCGCGTACGAGCGTTATACTTTTGACTCTTGGCAGTATGCAAACAAAACGATATCAATGAGCGATCAGTTCAAGCCTGGCTCTAGGTCTCTTTAGCTTCCGTCAATATCTTGCCACCTTCGACCAGACTGTAATAGAACGACATGTCGTCGAACTCTGAGGCGGTCGCGTGCGGTGCCATAGTGGTGTACAGGGCGTAATGCTCGGCCTCGGTCAAATCCGCGCCATAGGGCGGTGTTATGTCGTCATCGTCGTCATCCAGTCTCAGAGACTTGACACTCGTAACGCTTGTCATACTAGGACGCGGCAGTTGCAACTGCGAGGCGTCTTGTATGGAGTTCTTCAGCGAATACGAGGTGTTAAGCGAAGAGTCGCTGTCCATGCTTAGATTCGGTACCGAGCACTTGTCCTTCTTGGTCTTCTTGGCGAACAATTTCGAGAAGAGCCCTTGCTTTGAATGCTTGGGCAAGGTGTCGGGTAAAGACGGTAAATTCTTGTTCGGTGCCTCGGAAGTGGAAGAGTCGGCGAGCGTTTGGGAGGATATCGGACGCGGTAGGAGCGGCATCGACGGCATCTTGCGTATTCGTTTCGGCGGCAAGGGTGGCAATCGTTCCTCGGCTTCGCGCGTCACGTCTCTCTTGGCCGCCAACGTTGGAGGCGACACGGGCACTTCAGCGTCTTGCTTCGGTGTGGCTATGTCCTCGTATTTCCGTTCGTCGGTAATGTCGAACAGTTCAATTGGATTCTTCATGGCCATTTGCAGGCTGGTGTATGTCTGATTGTCGCAAACGTCCACGTCCATCAATTGTGGATGAGCGTTCGGTTCCAAGGCCGCCTGCACCAGCTTGGTGTGCGTGTCGGCATAGATCTGGTCGAGCTCAGCCACCTGCGATAAGAACTCGTTGAAGGATTTATTGCCACTTTCGGTTTCACTCTTCAATTCTGTCTCGTCGTTCTTCTCCTTCAGGCACGCTTGCCCCTTCTGCACCCATTTTCCGATTTCTGAATAGTCGAACCAGTCGGACCTCTCCCTCGAGTTGCCAATCTTCATCTGATCTTTCGATGCGAATGCGCTGTCGTTCTGCATGTCGGACTTCACATGAGGAACCACTCCGATGGTGCCCTCTTTGTTATAATCGGTGATAAACGTGTCGTTCTCTAGATTATGATTGTTGCCAAGCGTATACAATTTGGTAACATCCTTGTTATTGTCCGCGTCGCGATAATTCTCGGGAATTACTGTCACTTCATTGTTCTCGTAATCCAACACAGTGCTCTTCGCGATCTGATCGTTTTGTGCGGAATTGATTATCGCCTTCAAATCGCCGTTACAAGCGTCTATGTGATTTCTCACGTTGTACAGGTCGTTTAAGGCGCGCAACGCCGAGATTTTACCGTTCGATCTCTTCGCGTCAAGATCGTTGTTATTGAACTCGTCGATATTACGAGGGAATTTGGGCGCGGAAACATTGGACAGCAGAGCGGTCTCTGTAGCCAGAATTTTACTGAAGGTGCTGTAATCCGCCTTCTTCCTGGCGAATGCTTTCCGCAAAGACCAGAAAGCGGGCCTACCTGTACCCAGCGGTAGCATCTGGAAGGGCAGCGGCTCGCTCGTGGCGCCGTCCGACGGCCTCTTCAGCTGAATGTGCACTTGCACCGGCTGCTCCACTTGCTGCATACGATAGGTAGGCGTCCTGAACGCGATTGCCGTCTGCAAGGAAGCACGATGATCGCACAATCGTTATGATATAGACGCTTCGTATTCAAGGTGTTGCAAACTCTGTCGAAATTAAGGCTGACCGCGGAGCTCTTGATTAATGACGTCAAAAGTAACAAAACACGCGTTAAGGGTTTTTGTAAAATACGTCAAAATAAGAATATTTGCGATCGATCGAGCAAATCTGTAGAAAGAGTCCGAACAATTTTCTTTTGCTCTAACCTACCTTTCTAATCTGCCCTTTCTCAGAAATCTCATGTTAATTTTATAGATCTGCTTAATCGATTGCAAGCGTTAAATTATGAATATATTTGTTTATTCCAACGTATTTTACGGATGATTTTACGGAAATTCTGACGTTGCTTCTGACGTCAAAAATCAAGATGGGTGTGGTGAGGAAGCAGAGGGTTTAATTGTGTGTGATTACATGATCAAGCGATCGTTTACGTACTTGTTTATGTACATGCGTCGGTTGGAAGTCACCGAAACCCTCCCAGAGTAGTTGCCCGTCATCCTCCTCGAAAAATCTCACTTGTATGTCCTCCTTCGCGACTTTCTCGCACAGTAAAATCATTTCCATACCACCGGCTACCGATGCGCTACAGTGGCTCAGTTTACAAATCACAAGATCCGACATCGCTTCTGAAACGCGCATACGTATACCGTAAGCAGAAGTTTGATCGTAAATTGAGATACGCGATAAAAGAAAACGTTACATACTTTTGTCGTAAATAGGGTCGGAAACAATAGGCGTTAGAGGCCTGGTGAATTTTCCTTTCCGCGAACCTTCTAGGAAAACTTGAAAACACAATCTCACTGCATTGAGATCTATGTTAGTCGGTTGTTTCTTATGTTCGAAGCCAGCTGTGATCAAGAAAATTTTAAGTGTCGGTTTGTACAATTCAACAAAGAATAAAGGAATGGTTGCATACTTCGAAACGGGTCTACACGTAAGTCCTCGCGCACTTTGAGTGCTTCTTCAATGTCCTTCTTCTTTACGCACTGAATACCCAGATTTGAAAAGGTGACAATCATATTTCCTGCTGGAACTTCCACTGTACAAACACCCTGCTTACATACTTCCTTGCCAACAAGGTTGTGAGGGTGAGGCCTGTACGGTGCATCTTTCGTCACACATGACACAACCACCATAGCGCGACCTTTGTAACCTATAATCTATAAAAAGTATATAAGTATAAAAAAATAACAGAGAGCTATCAAATAATTGTCACTTACTCGTATACTGGGGAAAGTTTTGTTCTCTGGTGTACTGTTGGCACCAGGTATGCTGCCAGCAGATCTGCCTTCGCACTCATAACGAAATCTGAGTGCTTTACTGGCTGGCTGTTCCATGATTTTAACATATGGTTGTTCGTTATCCATGGCTATTGTAGCCATAGAACCAGGATCAGTGGTTTGGATGACCTCCACTAATAAATATAATTGATTAAGTAGGCTACACTGCATTATTAATCTCAAATACACGTAAATATATATATTTTTTCAATACTTACAGATATCACTTATATTGATATTTTCACTAGTCATGTTATTAAACTGTTCCATGACTGTCAATGTTCAACAAAACAAGCTTCAGCCATCTGAAATATAATTATTGGTCTAACTAACTTGTACAGTATGATGCAAACAATTCAAGTATTTAGAATTTACAACATATTCATGTTGCTAGGAAGTAGAGAATAGATATGGATTGATCTATAATGTTAATCTACAAAAACAAAAGAGAAACCTTGTATCTCTCATATATTCTTAGTGGATTTTCTCAGAGAAGTCAAGATATTTCATAATATGCTATATTCAATGCTTCTCTCTCGATGGACAGTTGAATTTATACATCAATGCACACTGCAGTTATACACATCGTTGTGCTACAGCGACAACTGGAGGAACGATGTGCCGATTCAACATTTGCGTTGAAAAGCAATTTCCGCGGACACAGCCTGCGAATCCCAGAACGACAGCTGTTCATACGTGAGGGCACGTCCAGAAACACTGCAGGCAAGTGTCCCGGGGGAGAAGAGAAGCGCGAGGAGGGATGCAACGCTGATCCAATCATTATTTTGGGAGAGCCTAGGCTCGTACAGGCCGCGTGGCTATAATTAAACTATCGTAGGACAATGTGACGGGAAAGAGACAGGAGAAGCGAGATGGAAGCAGAAACAGAGTATGGGAGAGAGAAAGCGAGAGAGAGCGAGAGAGCGAGAGAGCGAGAGAGAGAGAGAGAGAGAGAGAGAGAGAGACAAAGAAAAAAGAAGGAAAGACTCACAGAGATAGAGAGAGAGAGAGAAGATAGGAGGAAAGAGAAAGAAAGAGAAAGAGAGAGAGAGAGAGAGAGAGAGAGAGATACACTTGCCTGCTGCACAAATCAACATGGTAATGCGCTCTCGGGTCCAGCACTGCGCGTTGCGTTCATAATACGTGAATCGCGACAACGAGACAAATTAGACGAGTCAGCAGCTTCTCTCGTGCAAGATCCTTTTCTTCCGTGGCGGTTCTACGGGGAAAAATCTCGTTTTCCCTCGCGACGTAGGACGCGGGAGAGCAAGCGGTCGGCCAGGCAAGTAGGAAAAAATAGCCGGAGGCACACCACTACGCGGAATTACGCGCGATCGAGGCCGCACACACACGCGCGCGCGCGCGCGCGCACCCGTCCGTCGTTATGCCCGTCCGCGCGTTATACAGCGCGTACTACTGCGCTGTGCGCTTAGCTCAAGAGCGTGCCACGAGCGCGCATCACCAGAGAGGCGATTCTATCGAGACTGACTGACTGACTGACTCAAGCCGAGTTGCCTGGTTGCCTAGCTAGCTGGCTGGTTGGCCGACTGACTGACCGACCGAAGGCGCAGGGTCGAGTGCGAGCGTGCGCACTTCGAAGTTAGTCGACCGCTAGTCGTACGAAGTCGATGTCTTCTTGTTCGTTTTTCGTGTTTTCTCTTCAATAAATAATATCTCTCTATCCGATACGTGGGGTGTCTCACGCTTTCGCCTTACTTGCTGTACATCGCGCGCCGTGCACCGCCATGTTTTCTCCGACTTGATTTTAAGGTTATTCACCTTTCATCCTGCTCTTTGTTCTCTGCAAAAATTTTCTTTGTTACTCGCGTCGGTGGGGTCTTTTCTTGCCATTATTCCTCGTGCTTGCGGATAAGCACGAGACGAGAGAGAGAGAGAGAGAGAGAGAGAGAGAAAGAGAGAGATCAATGCGGCTAGCCGTTATCTCGGCTTGCTCTGAAACGATCTATCGTTTCGGGTTCTTTTTGAAAGATCAGCTGACGGCGTTTTTGTTTAGCGGGCAAGAGACTGAAAGATCGTCGCCTTGAATTGAACCGTCGAGATCACGATTGCGCGAGTTTCTCGGAACGCCAGGTGACTTTTGGCTCCCGTGTGATCCGGTAATTCGGCAAAATTATAAGTTTATCTTTATAAATAACCGCTGTCGAACTGCTACATGTCGCGCGCGCGGCTTCGAAGCAGCCGTCCGAACGTCGCTGACAGCGCGCATGCGCCATCTAATGGCGCGACGCAACGATAAATACGCGTTTGATTTCTCTGTCGATCTTTTTCCTAGAAGTTTGCGCGTACAAGGTCACTTGCATCGACATTTACTTGGTCAACGGGCACGAACGATTAAGTAACATTTTAATTGTTATGCGCGACAATATCGAGCGTACACTTTATGCTAACCGGCGGCATTCAGGTGTCGCATTGTTCTCCGTGATATCTAACGCTACCGCTGGGTATATGTTATAGTATAGATAAAGATTAGGGTTTAGTATAAATAAAGATTAGGGTCAGCAAAAGTGTGTGATTGATTTGAGATAAGCGGACGGAGTGCGGAGTTTTGTCTCTGCTTGTGACAAGAGTCGGTCTCTTCGGGATCAGGTTTTCTTTCAATATACGAACGCGCGAGTCTGTCTGCACGCATACATCACGTCAAAGTGTCGCGCTGAGATGTCGCGAGAGATGGAACTTCTGCAGACAACGGGAAAGAAAAAACCACATTTAATAACGCTCGACGTTGCACGAGGAATTCCGTGTCATTATCAGATCGCGCTATGCTTATAACTTGATTCGAACAAACTCGGGTCAAATAAATTTGTCTTCTCTAGATAAAATACTTTTACAAGTCAGAAATGCAGATTATGCATTTTATATGCAATGTTTTCCATCGCTTCATATTAATCGAAAAAATTTAGCAGGACATTTTGATGCTAATGGCAGTCCGAAGATGCGGATTATGTCGGATTATGTACGCTTCCACGAGAAATAGCGCAATTCAATTGTTCTATTATTTTTGAGAGTAAAAGAAATCGCGGCGGATCCGACAGTATGTCGCAAGATCTTGTTGTGAATACACGAGCTGACCATAACATATTGATGTAAGCAATACAATTTTTGACCACGTTCTGATTACGTCAGGCGATAATGAAGAGTGACAAGAGATAATGAGAGCACGATCGAAGGAGCATGATGAAAACCTGATCACATTCATTCTTCTTTCTTCAAGCGGGTAAGTGTAAACTTATTACAACGGATGATTATCATCGATCACAATTCATCAATCATTAGTCGATTGTTTACAGTGGCGCGACATGCGTGCCCGCGGAGGGAATTTGTCAACTGGATTTTCCGCTCGCCGTCGTCTAGCATCTTCGTCTGCGATGCGTAACAACGAGAGCTGGCCAGTAGTCGATTGCATCAATCGCGTTTTACTCCACGAAATCGTCGAATGGATTTTCCGAGAATTTCTATCACCGACTGGCTTGGGCACACACGAGAGTCTGTATGCATACGTCACGTCGAGGTGCCGCGTGCTGAAAGATGAGACGAACACGAGAGATGGAACTTTGCAGACAACGGAAAAGAAAAAACGACATACAATCATTGCACGCTCGACGTCATACGACGTGTCGCACGAGGAATTACGAATCACTATCAGATCGCGCGATATTCGTAACTTGATTTAAATAAACTCGGATCAATAAATTTCGGACTTTTCTAGATAAAATATTTTTACAGGGGGCGGAAATGCAAATTGTGCGTTTTACACACATACAATACAATGCATTTTGCGCACATACAATGTTCTCTATCGCTTCATAATTTTTAATATAATATCGAGAAAATTTAGACTTTTCGAGTGATATTGACATGGAAGTTCTTTCATTCTTTAGTTGTTGTACAGCAAGCGAGGAAAGAATCTATACACAGATTTGAGAATGTAATCAAATCAAACAAAACATGTTGATGTTTGATTTCCTCACAATCAGAAGTGAAACGTATTAACGTATATTAACGTATATTGATTACGCTGTAAACTTGATATTACTCTGTAAAAACCATACAAGTTCTCGAGGGCTCTTCACCCTTTTTATCTTCGGGTCGAATATCGGTGGACCCTTCTCTATAAGCACAATTTTTTCATTGCCGTAGCTTCAAACTACACGAACGGTAATGTGTGGCCGAAGATAAACAAGGTCGAGCGTCCATTCGCGATTCGCGTATCGCTTCAATTGCTATCGCTGGCGCAATCATTTGTTCCGGTCAGCATCCACATGTGCGCTCGCGTGCCGTCCCGTCCCCATGACGAGGAGCCGCACAAACAATCCTCGATCGCGCTCGAGGACGGTCTTATCAGCGCTAAAGGCGAGCGATATGCCAGAAACGTCTATCTTGTCGAAACGGAATCCGAGCCAACGACTCGCCACCGCCGTCGTGGCCGCCACCAAGTTGCCCAGATGCGTGCAACGTAAGCTGCCCTGCGTCCAGGCGCCCGTAAAATGCCACCCGCGACCGAGCCCGTACCGATGTGCCGACCAACGCGTGCTCAAGAGGCCCTACCGATTGGCGGTCGGATTGTCGGTGACTAGTCAGACCGGCAAACCACCGACACCGGTCGCCACCGCCAAGGATCGCGCCGACCGCAGCCCTGCTAGCTTCTTGGCTATCGGCACACCACGCTACAAGAAGAAGAGCCTGTCCATGACGGATTTGTCGCTGCCCGTCGTCGAGGGCGACATCGGTGACCTCAAGTGAGCCGATTTCTCGCTCGTGAAAGGAAGGCTCGCGAGTCTTCATCGCGAGCACGTAGCACGTAGCACGTAGCACGTAGTGCTGCAATGTTGCGCGATGAAGCGACATCGTGAGCACGCGATATCGATCGCGCTTGACCAGCGCGATTACCGTCTCCTTCCCGTAATGGGGAATTCAATTGTTTACTTTAGTAATTATAAGAATCGCGTGTTTGCATCGGGATTGATGATCTTCGATGATCAATTTCATCCGCTTTGCAGACGCTGAGGACCCATTGTAGTTAGGGTGGAACACGATGGCTGATTGAAACATTGTAGCATAGAGTTCGTACGTGTTATAGTTGTCGTTAGGAATTAATAATGGGAATAATGCTGGTGCATTGAATTTTCGTCCCGAGCCGGCCTTTGTTGCGCGCAATAAGGCAGCGCGGCTCTCGGTCGCTGATCAGTCGAGATTTCCTCGCGACAAATGAGAGAATCGTTGCCAAATCGGCGGTAAGGGGCTAAATATAAACCCGCGCGACCTACGTTGCCGTTGTCACGCTTCACCATTGATAGTCTTCCGCGGTGTCGTCGTTTCTAGGACATTTGAATAATCGCACGCGACGCTTAAACATAAGCCAATAATACTTGCGAGCCGATATAGGTATGATCGGCGAGATATTTTCGATCACTCAAACATCAGGTTATCAAATTCGCTTAGTGAGAATATCAAAAATGAATGTCCTGAGACTGAATCTGGCACAATATAATTGAACAACGGTTCTAATTCTTCGTGAGGAAATTACTATTTATACGGGGATTTCGTTTCCGAATTGGAAATTTGTCCGCATCTTCTTACCTTTTCAAAGTTACAAAATAGGATATTAAATTTTAACGCAAGTTTAAGTTTGGTTAAAGTCAAAAATACGACAGTAAAGGACAGTGAGAGTTCTTACTGTCCTTTATCTTCTTGCTTTTTGATTTTTCTTTCGTGACAAATTCTTATTTCGGAATCACCTTGGAAAAATCATTCCTTTCTCCACAAGTTGTAAGGCATCCTGTGTGTATCGTCTTGCTAATATTGAAGATCGCCGGTTACAAGCAGCATGATCCAAATGGAGATGTGTATCGTCTAGGTCGGAGAGTGGCTCCACCGATGAAGCTAACGACAAGTCCAAAGATCTCTTGGCGAGCAGCGGGAGCGCCTACTACAGCGGCAGGTCGTGGACGGATGTTACGCCTTCGTCGGAATCTGAGCAAGGCGAAGTCGGTCCGGCGGAAGATCCGACGGCCAGGGCAGCGAATGTGGTGTGTCGCGTGCTGTTGCTGAACGCCTGGAGACGTAGACGCACCGAGATCGCACAGCTGGAGCAACAGGTGGAGCACCTGCACCTCCAGATCGAGTTCCTGCGCCGATTGTTGCTCGCCGAGAACGAGCGGGTCGGCAGGTTGAACGGCGAACTGCATCGCGAGAAGTCGCAGCTGGAGGAGACGATATTGGAGCGCGACAGCATCAAATCGGTACGATCGACTGATCGATAATACGCGCTACATTTTGCTGAACTCTTTATCTGCTTCTGTCTAATCTCGATTCGTTTAAACCTGCTGCAGCTTTCAAAACTCCTGGAGAGCTCCATCAAGAATCAGATATAATTGAAATTGTGAGATGCATTGGGAAAAAAATGTCGAGAGGATATTTATTCTGTGGATAATAATAACACACTAACATACTAATATATATATATATATTTTTTTGTATTGAGGGAAAATAATTTTTTACGAATGATAAAATATGTTTTTTTTTTTTTAAATACGTAGTTTTTCATGTGAATGAATTGTTCATCTTATTTAAACGAAAGAATTGGACTAAGGTAAATATGTTATTACTACCCACCGAACGAATATTTTTAATTTAATTCTGCAGACATTTTTTTCTTTCAATATATCTGCGAAATAAATGTGTAAATTCCGCGTAAATTGAATTTATAAAATATTGATGAGTTAATTGTAAAATCGGATGGCCCTTTTCGGGCCGCCTCGTCGTATGCAACGATGATGCAGCGACAAGCGGATCCAACGAGTACGTCGTCCCCGTTCGCACGACGAACACGGGAGTTCAGTGACGTGCTTCTAACTACGGGGATGACGTTATTGCGAGAATGCGCGACTCGCGTAGCCGCGACAGAGACCGACGATAGCGCGTTGCGACGGAAGAAACATTTGCATTCCGCGCGCGCTATAATCCGCCAACTCCTGTATATCCGCGACTCGAGGTGTAGCGAATACGATCTAATTCCGATGCGCCACCGTTCTAATTACCATTCGTTCCGCGCGGTCTCCGGAACGCAGAGGAGATACATCACGAGCTAAAGCCGGTAGAACCGCGCGCGGAATTCATCATCGGCTGCACCAGGTCGTCCATCGATCGCGCGCATACATTCGCATACACGTGCGATGTTCTGCCGTAGGAGAAGCAGAAGCTGAAGGACGAGCTGAGGCGCGCCGAAGAGGTCTCTCAAGAGCGGTCGGTCACCATGGGGAACCTGAGGAACGAGCTGGTGACCGCGCAGGATCAGCTGAAGACGCTCGACGTGCAAATGACGAGGGATCGAGAGAAACTTCTGAAGCTGCGCGAGGACAAGAGAATTCTTCTGGAAAAGGTTTCCCACGTGTTCCCATCTCTTCCTCCGTTCAGACCGTTGTGCCGAAAAGACGAATCGGTCTGCTGTATGAGTAATGTCGCGTGAGCCGACGAATCTCGCGATTTCCACGAACCGCGTTGTGTCGTAGCACCCGCGCAATTGCGCGCTGGTGGTGGAAAAATTGATCCGCTTTGGTGACTCATTGTTATGGTCGCCGCGAGACGCGAGGCTGCGCGGTCTCCTCCTCTTCCTATTACTACTTTACCACCTTTTCCTCCTCCTCCTCTTCCCCTTCCTACCGCCACTATTCTACTACTACTACTACTACTACTACTACTACTACTACCACCACCACCACCATCACCACCACCACCACCACCACCACCACCTTACCTCCTCCATCTCCTCCTGGGGGGTGAACTCTCCCACGCGTTTGTACGCGAACTCCCTTCGTGTTCTACGAACCGGGTGACTCATTCTCCCTCTCTCTATCTTTCTCCGTCTCTCCTTGTTCTTCTCTTACCCCTTTCGCCCTTCAGAGAAGTTAGACGGCTCTGACAACGTCCAAGTCAAGTAACATCGGCTCTTCGTCCGACATCTTCCGGTGACCTATTTCCGCTTTCTCACAATGGCCGTCAGCGAGGTCTGTGCGGTCTATTAAAATTGCATAAGCTCGTCGAGACAACCCTTCGCCAACATTGTCATTGGCTCAGACCGTTGAATTAGTTCAGCATGAATAGTTCAATTTCATGCGGTAGGATAATTTGGTTCCTGGATTAAATTATATATATTCTCATGAATCCAAACTTCGAGATATTCTGATTCTTGTGTAGACAAAAGTAGTGTGATGCGGTGACATTTGAAAAATGTCACACGAATTTCTTTTCTCGAAACTATTGGTCGAGAAACCTCAATTTTAACTTACACACCGCAGAGATTGAATTTTTATAAAATTTTTTACCAGTTGGTTCTTAAGACATTCGATGTATTCTTTGGGGGTAAAAGTTGCGCGTGAAGCAACCCCTCTGCTCATTCGAGCTTGACAAAGCTCTCAAAGCTCGAGTTTACCTTCGCCGCGACGAATGCGAGATGATGGCAGGCCGTCCGCACGTGTTTCGCGAGATCGATGCAGCATTATGCTGAATAGCGTCACGTGCGACCACGACACCCATTGCTTCTTCGAAGATCTCTTAGAATTCACCCGCGAGCCGAGCGTCGGGTCAACGCACGGCAGAAATATAGCTTGCGGGTGAGTCACACCTTTCGCGTTTCGCCGGTGACTCAATATCACGTAATACTCCTTCCATACCGGGAAGAAGGATCAATACCACTTGCCCTATTAACTTTTATTCGTTGCAGGATCGCGGATTATCGCGGGTAATGGTAGTCAGTACTCGTACGTACCTGCGGATCGCGTCGTTGCTCGGCGATTACGCGAAACGTTCGTTCGTAAGATCGCGAGGATATATCACTGATATCCTCGCGTGTTCTCGCCGCGCGATCTGCAAATCAAATGCCACTTGTCACAGATTAAAGGAACATTTCGTCCCGCATAAATCATGCGCGTCGTATCGCGCCGTCGAATCATTCAGGGCGACTTTCTTCAAGCCTTGATTGATCTAATCGACTGACTGGCAGAATCGCCGACAGCGATTTCCCTTCGCGTGAAATTCGTTGTCTGACGATAACAAAGGAAACTAATATTATTTCAGTAATATCGACTTTGTTAATAATTAATATTATTATTGATATTAATACTAAATATATATTTTTACAAACAAACACGTAGATATCCGTCAGCGAGGTGTTAGCAGCAGATCGTGGTGCGCGAGCGGAGAAAGCGGAATCCGCCCTCGAGGAGCTTCAGATACGTTTAGCGACGCAGATGGCCCTCGTGGATTCCGCCCAGGAGAAGCTGCAACGCACCTCCAAGTATGCCGGAGTTTTATTTCGCTTCTAACTTTAAGGGAACTAATTCTAAGCGAATTACGAGCAAAACTGTCCAGTCCGCAATTGAAAAGTACTTTAAACTCTACTTACATGACACATGAGGTGTTCTGAATAGTGTGTAAGCACGCTTTCGCGCAATCAGAGAGTTGCAGACCACGGAGATGGAGAGGCAGCGATTAGAGAAACGTTTAAAGACCAGCGAGAGCAACGGCAGGGCTTTGAGCTTGCGCGCGACCTCTCTGGAGAGTCAGCTGGCTGATCGAGAAGTCGCGTTGCGTCGCCTCGAATCGGAATACAACTCGCAAGTGTAAGAAAAATCTGTTTATTAATATATTTGTTATCGCGATTTCTTTGGGGAATTTTTTCCGCAGACTCCACACGTGTTGTTCTTACTTTTTGTCTGCGATAAAGTTTTCAAGTACAGCATTCCCTTGGTAGAATTAAAAAATTCAAGCAAAGATGAGAGAGCTTGAAACGATAGAACGTCACGCCGCATTAACGCTGTTGACGTTACAGAAAGGAAATAGCAACGACTATATATATATATATATATATATGTAAGATTATTATGTGAAGATAATGTGCGAAAGTCATGAGATTATACATGTTCTCAATGATGTTCTTTCAGGACGGAATTAAGCGAACTGAAAGAGCGACTATTGCAACAATCGCAAGAGGGTGGCTGGAGCAACTGGGTAATGCAATTCGCCGGCAGCTTTATGCGCGCGTCAATCTTGCGGACCTTCGCGTTCTTGTCCAGCGCCGCTCTACCGCCGTAGGTAAGTAGTAACATGAATATATTCTGACAGCTTGCGAATACCGACTGCAATACGTCGAGGTGAGCTTGCGCTCTGACGTTGACGGTTGAACTATGCATTATTAACGTGCATCAATCGCTACCGCTACAAGCGAACGCAGGTCGAGCGCTCACATAAGCGAGTGACCGCAACTTTCTGGAAGCACGAGCCGGAAGATTTCGACCAGCAAAAGCTTCCGACGAACCGGATGGTTTCGCACAAGCGGTTTCGGTCTTCTTGTCGAGAAGAATCTCTCGACGAGGGGAACTCGAAGAGAGAGAGAGAGAGAGAGAGAGAGAGAGAGAGAGAGAGAGAGAGAGAGAGAGAGAGAGAGAGAGAGAGAGAGAGAGAGAGAGAGAGCAAGAAGAGTGAGAGATGTAGGGGGATGCAGGGGGCGGCGCGGAAATCGACGAGTGTCGGCTTCTTTTCGTATATTATATTTAAAGGCATTTTTTTCTCTCTTTTTTTTTTCGACCTGATATTTAACTTTTGACCAGAGATTTTTTTTTCCTTCTATATGCGCGCAACGTCGTGAACAAGATCGCGTGACTTCATCGCGTTCGCCGAGTGACTTTGATTTGTAGGGTAAATTCTTTTTTCTTCGTTTTTTACGTCGTGGATATGAGGAGACGAATGTAACTTGGATGGAACTTACGATGGGACGATCTGTCGAATAAACTTGAGCATTACATGACGTTTTTTAAATCTATATTCTTAGACTCCTTCGCGTAACACGACGAACTGATAAAAATAAATTGCCGTCAGTATCGTCCGATGGCGGACAATCTGGCGAGGCGGTCAGTTTGTTTGCTACTGCAAGGCGTAGTACGACTTTGCGGCCATCGACTGTTCGTTTCATTTTGCAACGAATTGCCTGGCTATGGCGCGGTTACTACATTTCACATAGTCCTACTCTTAATTGTATAAGTACATATTTCTCAATGCGTCTTAAATAAATACGTATACACCAGAATGCGACGTTTACAATACGCCATTTCCTCGAAAATACGGCGCAGTATTTCGTTACGACTCTTTTTAAGTGATCACGTGTATGTTTTTTTTTGTTTTTAATCGTCACGTATTTTTGCGCCGATGAGAGACAATGATGTGATGACAGCGCCTCGGGATACAGTCGTATTTTGTATAGGATGTACAAGCTAATTAGCTCACATTGTCTCCCGTCTTCGGTGTTGAAGTGCTGTAATCACGAGTGGAGAAAGAAAGAGACAGAGAGAGAGAGAAAGAGAAAAAGAGAGAAAAAGAGAGGAAAAAGAGGAGTAAACGATAAAGCTGCCGTGTACGTTAGTATCGTTATATTCTTAGCTCTCGCAAATTGATCGCCTAAAGTTACGGAAATCATACGCCGCGATATTGGCTACTTCGCGACACGAATGTACGAACAAATACTGACGAACGGAATACGTTCAGTACTGCTACAAGAATGATCCCCTCTTAGGTCGCGTGACAAGTCGACGCGGTTGATTTCTCCTTTACGTATGTAACAGTTACCGTTAAAGGAAAATTATATATATGCGTAGTTTGATTCGTAGTTGCATCGTTATGACATTACACAGCTGCCATTATATTACGGACATCAGCTACAGGCGTCATCGCGCGAGAAGAAACGCGTCAACGCAATTTTCACGTACACGTTTTGTTTTCCTTTTCTTTTAAACCTATCATAAGTTCCGACTACGCTAGGTCTCGATACGATAATATTGAGCAATCTTGATGTTGAGGTAACATTGCTCTTGTGTGGATATCTTCCGTTGTCTTTTTTTCTTTTTTTTTTCCCCTTTTTATAAAAAACATCGCCGCGGCTCGGTAGAAACTGCGTCCTCCACACCGTCGGAAGATTGGATTTTTCCTGATAGTCTTCGGCGTAAACAAAGAAAGTAAAGGTCCAAAAGTTCTAATCGGTGGTTATATATCAAAATGTGCGATATATAGAGAGTCGTCTTCGCTTCTCTCGACCCTGCCGGAGGCCAGGTGATCGCCAGCGGGTCAGATTCGTGCAGGATCTATTTCCGAAAGGACTATGATCTTTCTTTCTCTTTCACTATCAGAGGGAGAATGGATAAATAATTACTTTAATTATAACAATGTCGCTCTAACTAGACTCGACTAGATGTTCAGTGGATCCTGGGCACGTTCTTCGGTTAGATCATGCCGAAACCTTCGGTACCCTCGCTGATCGCCAACAGCAACGCTCGCTCGAAGTGATCGTAGCACTCGTAATCAGGCAAGCAGAGTTGGTTGAAGCTGCAAAGAGACATTGGCGTTAAACTGAATGCGAATAGCACAAAATAGTGATAACGATAAAGAGCAAATGAGAGCGTACCAAGTATGTGCCGTAGGTAAATTAGCGAACGTCGGCGCGGCCGTGATTTGGAAACGCGGGCTCAGCTGTTGGAAGCCTCCGGGCGGCAATTGCGAGCAGCCCGTAGTGAATTGGAGCAGTCGCGCCATTTCCTCCTGCGTGAAGTTGCTCACCGCCGTCCAGAACCAGTCGAGGACTCGCAGAAACTCCGGGGAACTTCCGTTGGCTATGTGGTGCGCGCGCAAATCTGCCACGCTATATTCACCAGTGCCGCACAGCAGCAGCTGTGAACGAAAGAAAGAGAATAGATAGAATGAATAAACGGTCATCGAGCGATCGCGAGCGAACAAACTCAAATGCACAAACTCACGCACCTCCAATTCATTCTCGTCGAATATCCCCAAGAGGTTGTCGGGAATCAGTTCATTGAGGCCGCGCAAGAAATGATCGACTTCATTGCGGATGGAACTGGCCAGCCGATGTTGAGCCAAAGCGTCCAGGTAACGGAGCTTGGTGTCGTTGGTCACTCGGAGCTTGCTGCCGCCCGGAATTAATTCCGCTACCTGGAGAAACAGAGTTTACAGTGAGTTCTCACATTGAGAACGTGTGTATGGTGTACATGTAACATTGCCATGAGTGCATCAACAACCTCTACCTTCAACAATTGGCCGTCATTGTCGTATTCCTCCTCGACAAAGTACAATTCCATTTCCTCGACGTCGTTCTCGAGGATGTACTTCACCTTGCTCAAGTACAGGTCCGGATCGTCTTGCTCAAAGTACTGGTAACCCACGAAAGATAAATTCGCTTCGTACGGAGAGGGAGGCACGGAAAGTATAAACGTTACCTTGTAGTGCACCCTGAGTCCTATAATCTGCGCGAGGAAGGACCTGGTGAATCGCGCGCGAACCAGCTGACGATAGGAGCCGCCGAGCGCCGACTCGTAGAGACATTTGCCCACGATACGCCCGGCGAATTCATAGTGCTTCAGTTTCAGATGCGACGGTCGCTTGCAGTTTGGATGCACCAGTGCCTGTTGCGACTCCCCGAACGACGCGAACAGGCCGTTCCCCGAGTCGAACAAAGCGGCGCATATCAGTTCGAACCATTCGCGCCGCACGCCACCCCAATCGAGACCTGTCGCCAGACGATCATGATTTTCAGACAACCGCCTTGGACTAGATTCTCATGGAGGAAGCGAAAAAAAAAAAAACAAAACATTGCGAAAGTGAGAGGAAAGAAAGGATACCTTGCTCGCCTTGGAAGGTGATCTCGAAATTGCGGCACCAGTCGTTCACGGAAAATACTTTAGTGGCTTTCATAGACTTGAACACGGGAAAGAATGCGATTAGTATGTGCGATTTGAACCGCGGCACACATTGCGGCGTGGACGCATTGTAAACAAATGCGTTCATACTTACCGACTCCAGCAACTTATCACGCTGCACTTTCATCGGCAGTCTCTCGTGATAATGCTTCTGATGGCGCTTGCGGACCTCGTGATAGAAAAAGTCTTGCTTGTCGGCGAAGGTCTCGCTGCCGCCGATGTTTTTCAGGAGGAACAAGGTAAACGTGGCGGCTATTATATCGCGGTATACGGATATTAGTTCGACAGGCGGTTGGCATCCGTCGTCTATCGAGAAGGGGTGGTAGCCTTCGTGTCGATTAGTCGATTTCTCGAAATGAAACTAAAAGCATCGTTAATAGATTACACAAGCTGTGAGTATCAAAAGTGGTATCGTCGATGCGCTTAGCCCAGCCCCTCAAGTCCGTTCTGATTCTCATCAATGATCATGCGCTGTACCTTAGTCGACGGACACAGCCGGAAGGTCACGAGTCTCTTGGGAATAAATTTCAACAAGTATTCCTTAATCGTAAGCTGCTTAGGCGAGATGAAGCAGAAGACTTTCTTCGGCTTCGAGAACCTTTCCCCTTGCATGCCCAGCAGTTTCGCGCCGTAACAAATGGCGGGATCCTTGGAAGCTACGTGATTATGCACCATTCGCGCGACGGAACCTGGCGCAATGAGGCAGGTTGAGAAATGCGGCGACCAATCTCGTTAGATAAGAACGCTTCCTACGATGCTAAATTATACTATTCAGCGCGTCGGACGGCCTACGTACTCTCGAGCACAATAATATCGAAGTCCCCGTTGTGCAGCTGCAGCCCCGCCAAGCTGACGGTCGCATGGTAGCAGCCGCCTTTCGGGAAACTCACTTTCAGGCGAATTCTTTGATTTGGACAGTCATAGTCGA